CTGAGCAACTCCGCAGTGTACCAGATCATCACAAAGGTAGCACAAAGATTCACAGGGCAAGTAACCCACATCCTGTTCACAGACACACACACATATATAGGCCATTTTTGTAACATTTTCGAAACTCCTAACAATTTGATACACTCTGATGTTTGCCCTTTTTTCGTGTATCATTGGAAACTGTTGAAACACCTTTTCGGTTTGTATAAAAGTGTATGTCTTCACCTTGATATGGTTTTACACACCCCTGGCATCCAATCGAGCGCACAATATTTTTCAGGGATATAATTCATGCAATCTCAGACAGGGATTTATATTTTCGTTAATTACGAATCGTATCATTAGTTTCTTGATAAGATTTTTCTGTAAAGGTGCATAAAATGTTCCTGTGCTTTTTTTCAGCAATACATCTAATACATGTTCACTGTATATGGATAAGATGTCTTCAAAATCATTCTATACCTCAATGAAATAAACCTTACAGGCTCAAAAAAATGAAAGAAAATATTGTGTATCCTAATTTGTTGATATAATTCAATCAGTAAGGCAAGCATAAATGTCCATCTTCATTGAAATTATCTAGTTCTCTCACTCGGACACGGAGCTCACTCGCAGCGCATAAAATCAGATGAAAACATGCAATGAAAACATGCAACTTCACTTTTCTTATGAAGAATAATTTTTTTAATAAGAAAAATGTTTTGACCGAGTCTGAGAAATTATGTTTCCACAGCCTTGTGAAGTGAAGAGTAGTGTGTGTATAGGCACTATAGATTGCAGAGTAGTCAGGTACTTTTTTCCATTTTATTTGAAGCTTCCACAATGTTTTGCCTGTAATTAAAAACCATACCAGTATATTTAGTACTTTAATGGCTTTCTATTGACTTTTTTCATGTAAAAAAAAAAATAATAATAACTTTCTTTTTCAAAACTTTGTATGTCAGTACAACCTTCGATGATATCGTGTTTTGTAGCGAAGGCAAAATCAACCAGATCTTTCATTTTTTAAAGTTTTCCTCCTACGTATTGTAAATAGAGTAGTTTTAGGCCAGAGAACTGAACCAGCCTGAGGTATGTGACTTTCAAAATTTAGAACATGGACTGAGATTTAATTCGAGCCAGTCAGCCGTAAGCTTAATATAGACACCTTGTCCAGTAATGCTAATGTACTTGGATCAAAAGGTTATATTGGCGTCGTAAATAGTCGTTAACTTCCATGACTTTCATATACAAACATCGGCTATGTATTTTCTCATTAGGCGACAAAAATATATAAAAATATCGTTGAGAGAAAATACGTATACCTCTTTTTTATAGCACAGAATACCATATACGTACGAGTTTATAACAGTGTACCAGGCAGCTCACACAAAAACGGACCAAAAAGCCAATAATGAATATAGATGATACACATTTACTAATTATTACAATATGTATATAATGATAATAAAATATATATAAATTCCTAAGTAGACAATCATCTATATATTAACCCAACCCCTTTCAAAGTACTCCAAAAAGTCGCAAGTCGCAAAGTTGAAAAAAAAAATAGTAGCGCAACACCTCATAATTTAGCCCAATATGTGATACGTAGCTCAATCTGGCAACACTGCAACTTCGGATTAAGATATATGTAACTCATTTATTAACCATAACATCGTCTGCATTTCAGTTAAAGTTTGCAGATCTAGTACTTATATCATAATCTTGTATTACCTCTTATATCATATTATACAAGTAATCATTGATTACTAACTCGAATCAACGACGAAGTCATGGCTCTAGCATCGCATTCGAACAATTTGCGGTAATTGCGATAATCCGGCGTCCGAATCCGTGTGCTGGCTTGCCCTGAACTCACTCACACACACACACACACACACACACACACACACACACACACACACACACACACACACACACACACACACACACACACACACACACACACACACACACACACACTGAGTGAATATGACACTGTGAAAAGTTTAAACGGCCAAGTCGAATTTGAGAATGTAATTAAGACTAGGAAATTGGTATAGTTCCCCCTCCACCCTTTTAAAAATGGGATAACAAATAACATTATTATGCGCAAATAGATTTAGATGTTATCCGGCAATGAACTTGATTATTTTGTCCGTAATATATAATCGTGATATAATATATTAACTTAGTTATGTATAAACACTAAAGGCATATATCTTGAGGTCAATTTCAGTTCAGTTTCATGAAATAAAATCAGTTTCGTTCCATGAAATGAAATGAACAGTACACCAATGAATTATAAATGCCATTCGCATTATTTTTAGATTGACAAGGAGTCATTCTTTCCTGCGTTTTATTTATTATTATTAAAGTTTCTTTCAACGATGTGACAACACTATTGTAATCTAAAGTTTACAACGAGCTTCATGGTTGATTTCAGAGTCTATTTATCTTAGCTTTAGCCGATGTGGTTCTAAAGCAATATAATTCTATGAAAAAAAAAATCAGTAATCTGATTTTTTTTTTAAACAAGTCCTGGTGACTAACGCCCATATCTTATCATACTTTTTAAATGGAATAACTAGTAGCGAAGACAGACTTTCCATTCATTTCTCTTCTGCGACTAAGCGTTAAAAAGCACAACGTTTGTAGAAAAAAAAACGTTAATGTACGAGAAAGTGGTCATATTTCCTTATTTTTCGAATTTGCTTCTTTCAGTTTGACCCTCACACGTTGGGACATGCTTATACCGAGGCTAAATATCAATGTTTTTTTCCTTATTCTTTATGCTAGGGCTATTTTGTACCTGACCGCACTCTCAGTATATAGGACGGCACACGCGCGCGCACGCACACACACACACACATACACACACACACACACACACACACACACACACACACACACACACACACACACTCACACACACACACACACACACACACACACACGCACACACACACACACACACACACACACACACACACACACTGAGTGAATATGACACTGTGAAAAGTTTAAACGGCCAAGTCGAATTTGAGAATGTAATTAAGACTAGGAAATTGGTATAGTTCCCCCTCCACCCTTTTAAAAATGGGATAACAAATAACATTATTATGCGCAAATAGATTTAGATGTTATCCGGCAATGAACTTGATTATTTTGTCCGTAATATATAATCGTGATATAATATATTAACTTAGTTATGTATAAACACTAAAGGCATATATCTTGAGGTCAATTTCAGTTCAGTTTCATGAAATAAAATCAGTTTCGTTCCATGAAATGAAATGAACAGTACACCAATGAATTATAAATGCCATTCGCATTATTTTTAGATTGACAAGGAGTCATTCTTTCCTGCGTTTTATTTATTATTATTAAAGTTTCTTTCAACGATGTGACAACACTATTGTAATCTAAAGTTTACAACGAGCTTCATGGTTGATTTCAGAGTCTATTTATCTTAGCTTTAGCCGATGTGGTTCTAAAGCAATATAATTCTATGAAAAAAAAAATCAGTAATCTGATTTTTTTTTAAACAAGTCCTGGTGACTAACGCCCATATCTTATCATACTTTTTAAATGGAAAAATTAGTAGCAAAGGCAGACTTTCCATCTATTTCTCTTCTGCGACTAAGCGTTAAAAAGCACAACGTTTGTAGAAAAAAAAAAAAAAATCTAATGGCTCACCTGTATAAGCAATAAGAACAAGTCTCCAATTTCTCTATCAAATTTCATTGAGTTTCTATTACACCATAGTATCTATTAAACCAGATTTACACTCAAAATCATCTGCTGTATATATTATCACAATCAACATGATTATAGTTTACTAGTATCAAAGCAAGGTTTCATAAACCATAAGAAAATATGTAATGCATTCTTAACTTGAGTGGTGGCATAACTGTCGGTTAATCTGTGAAGGTATTTTACCTCATTCCCCGTGATTTTAATTAAATACAAATACAATATCACATGTACAACTTCTCGGTCCTTTATAAATGTTACATATATTGTTAGTAACAGACACAAATATTTTGTAAATTTCTCAGTAGCTGGGTACAAACTCTTTTTTTGGGGGGGATGGGGGAGGACTCTCAGTTGATATGAGTCCTTAAGAGAGAAGTCCCTAATATATCTTTACTGAAAGGTCTTAATATTCAATGCTGTGTTAATATAATCATTATCTTCATTCTATCATTTACAACTGTCCCTCTGAACGTTAGAAAATATGCATTATTAATCTATAAAACACCTATGTTTTGTATTTAGTTTGCCCTGGGATGTTAACTGCACAAGCTCACATCACGTATGCATGTCAGTATTGACTTCTCAGATAATATTCGTCCTTTCTAAGGGTAAAACCTCCGTAATAAACGAGTAGGGAATATTTCCTTCAAGTCACTTTCACTCACAACTGTAAATGACTGTATTTCAATGCCTCTATCCTATGAAGTCAAATTCACTTTATATTCATATATCAAAAAAATGGCATTGATCCATAAGCAGCCAACTTTGAAATGCTATGTTTCTTTTTAAATATACAAAAGATATTTTCTTTCTTCATTTCAACAACTTTTGACTTTGTGCATTATCTAATGTGTTAAGCTAAATTATAACTAATAACAATATTGAACTAATAGCGATTATTACTGTTGAAGATAAAAAAAAATTATATTTCAAAAATCTAAGTTTCATAAGAGGGTACTTTAATGCAACCTAAATAAAACACTATGTGATCCTTTACTCACCCAATTTACACACAATTACCAATTTTATTTCTAATTATATAGGTATATATATTTGTTTACATTTGCTGCAGATTTACCTGTAAATAAAACATTAAATTGTAGATTCAAAATTGTCAAAAACTACATTATGAAAGTAAGTAAGTCCTCTATATTGCTGACCTGTGTTACAAATGTTACTCTGCAATTGATAAGCCAATGAGCTTAACGATATGGTAAAGTATACAAAGATATATGTGTATGTAATCCATATATATATAA